AAGAACAAATAACTGCAATTTCTATAAAATTTGAAATGTATCCCCCAGTTACGGCTGCAACCTTCCTGGTGTTCTGTTTTAAGTGAGTGGCACGCCTGCTGCAGATCTGCAGATGAAGATCTTTCATTGATATTTATGGTCTTGGTCTTGGTCTTGCCCTGCCTTGGTCTTGGTCTTGACTCTCTAAATGTCTTGGACTTGTCTCAGTCTCTGAGCACTCTGGTCTCGGTTAGATTAAGATTAAGATTTACTCTATTGATCCCCGCAAGGGGAAATTTTTGTTTTTACACTCTGTTAATCATGCAACACACACATAGGCTGAAATATACACACACATGCACAAACAGGATCCTATGGACATGCACTAATGGAGAGATGTCAGAGTGATGGAGCTGCTCACAGCAGGCGCTCCTGAGCTGATGGTGGGTAGGGGGTTTGGTGCCTTGCTCAAGGGCACCTCGGCAGTGCTCAGGAAGTGATCTGGCACCTCTCCAGCTACCAGACCAACTTCCATATTTGGTCCACACCAGGACTTGAATCGACGACCCTCCGGTTCCCAACCGAAGTCCCTACAGACTGAGCTACTGCTGCCACCCACAGTGTGATCTTGACTACAACACTACGCAACAAACTACAAACAGTATGGATGTGATTACTATCTTTGTTGTATGGCCGTTCTCGGGTTAAAAACTTGACAACATGCACAGAGAAAGTCTGCCAAAGAACTGTGTTGATCAACTATTTTGACAATCAGGAGTGAAAGAGCACAAACACAAAACAAACAACGACCCCCCCACACACCTTCTGTCTGTCGCTGGCGTCAGTGTGTTAGATGTCCAGGAGGCCTTGTCCTGGCAGCAGAAGCCATGCAGGCTCTCGAGTAGACGGAGCTCCCCAAACCTTCAGCGAGGTGATCGGGCACTTCTACCACCCGATGTCCCTGATGCCCAGCCTCCACCATTGAATCTGCGTCGCCCCCACAACCACCGGCGGCCTGCTCCCATCTCCACCTCAGCAGCAAGAAAGTGTGGGACAACAGGAACGTGAGGAATACAAAGGAGAAATCCTTCCTGCATCTTATCCCATTTTTCTTTTGTAACGTAACAATGATTACAGTCTTTTACCTGCTCTTTTGTAAAGAGTCTCGAGATAACATTTGTTATGAATTGGTGCTATAAAAATAATGATTGATTGATTGATTGATTGATTGATTGATTGATTGATTGATTGATTGATTGATTGATAATACTCGCTGATACCACCAGAAGATTTAATATAGGTTGTATCTCAGGCTGTTTAGACATTGGTAATGGTTCAACTCGATGAATATTTTGCTTTTTTAGCTGAACAAACGGTGTCGTTTTGCTGTGTGATTGGGTTTTCATGACAATACGTTGATCTTCTACTTTGTAAATTCTTTATGTGATGCTGCTGAATCAAAACAAAGAGGCCTTCATATTTTTCCAGGGAAAACAGTCCATTATAATCAACAAAGTTATTTAAATGAACATGAAGGCTAAATGAGGAAAAATCATCCAGATGTTCTTATTTCAAATTAGATCATGGTTATTTATTGTGTTTTCTGAAAAGAATGAACCAAAGAAAATGTGTAATGAGCAATCAGCCACATTAGGGAAAGGTTATATATCAGAAGCATTTAAGGAAAAAATGAATCTATACCGGCATCAGCTGTACCCGTGTATAAAGCAGTTCCTCTTGGGATTCCAGGCACACACAGCTCAATGCAATGACCGTGTTTTACATCACCAATCTGTTACAGTGGGATCTCCCCGGCTTCAATCCCATGGATGATTAAGCGTGATAATTAAGGTTTTTGGACATTTTCCACAGAGGAGCAGACGTGGCAGCTGGTGACATTCATGCATTCCCAAACACAGAGGAGGGAATCACAATGAGGCCTCCCTTCATTTCAGTGATCACAAAGTCTGCTCCTGGCACCAGCTCAAAAACACTCGAGCTGTTGTTGAAAAGGACGATTTGTGGCTCTCTTTGTTGCAATGTGAGTAATGTACCTTGATCTTTACAGAGGGAATTATAGAAACCTTAAAAAGCAGCCAAATATTTGTTGTTGTGTTTTTACCTGCAGGCAGGTTCATTTGCTTTTTCTGCAGGAAATAAGCATTAATAAGAGTTTATCATATTACTCGCTTGATATTGTGGTTAAAACTCTAATTAGTGCAGCAGAATATCAGAGACTTCAGAACTGCTTTTAACTCGTTGTTTTGTCAGATTGGTAAGAGTTGGATTTGAAATGTGCTCCAGTGAATATCATATTTTGAATGAAAGCCTTTAACTGATCATATGAAGTATCTGTTTCATTAACATGAACAAACACTGTGGACACAAAATATAAATGACAGATCATAAAATATGAAACAGAGTGTTGCAATAAAAGTCAAATAGTGTGCAAAACCTTACACTATATGCCCTTACTGCCCTGACCAGACAGTCATTTACTTTAACAGAGAGAGCAGAACGAGAAAAGAAACGAGGAGAGGGGAAATGAACAAACCAGCTGCTGGGTCAAAGTGACCCAACCAGCTGTTTTAGCTGAAATGAACCCCTGACCTCCCCTAGGACTCAGCATTCACTGTTGCCAGATGGAAAATACAGTAATATAGTACTGCAGCTTGGAAATTATCCTATTTTACTAAAAACCACCGTACATGTGAAAAAAAACATGAGAAAGGTCCTTGATACCACACTGAAACTGCACATCATATTAATTTAAATAAATGAAGAAACAAAGGAACAAACTATTTAAGTGTACATTGCTCCACTGCCCGCCGCTGTGTAGCTGTAAGCTAGCAAGTTGTTGTGACGTGCGTTTTCCTGAAGTCTGTGTGGCATAACAAGCTGCAGGCGAGAGCAGGGATTCAGTTGATGATTTTATTAGCAGGTGGAGGCTTGCAGCAGAGCACAGGGCATGTCTGTCAGATGCTGAATGCTGCTGATGTGATGGCCACATCGCAATGAAACTGCAAAAATCATAGTACATTCTGCCTTTTTCTGCAATTATTGATTGTAGCTTACTTTGTACAGAAGGCAAAATGATGGTACAAATATATGGTCAATCTGGCAACACTTCTCAGCATGAACAACGTAACTATTTTTTATTTTATTTTATACTTAACCAGGAAATAAAAACTTGTTGAAATTAAAAATCTCTTTTTCAAGAGTGTCCTAGCCAAGACAGGCAGCAGCATAATTTACAGAGTTCCACACAAACAAGGAGCAGCCAAACATATACGAGTAAATAAACCTTTAGACATTCAAATACACAAAAGATATCTAAATAAATCTGTCAAGATCACCCACAAACACATAAGAGAGAACATCTGCAGCCAGATGTGTCTGCCTCAAAATCATTTAACATCCTCTTAAAATCATCCAATGAGAGCAGCTCATTAAGTTTCAGCTCTTTTTGTAACTCGTTTCAAGTAAAGGGAGCAGCAAACTGAAACACCTTTCTCCCCAGTTCAGTTCTGACTTTTAGAAGAGACAGTAAAGAAAAGGTCCTGGGACTGAAGATTATACGTTCTTGTACTCTTCTGACCGATGTAGGTCAGAGGTATGAAGGAAGTAGACCTAAAGTAGACTTGTAGATAAGAATAAAGAATACGCCAGTGTTTAAGTCTGTATGGTCAAAGAAGTCAATCCAATACGTGCATAGTGAGCTCCATGATACAAATAGTCACAGAGCATGTAAGCTTTGTGAGGAGGAATGAATGCAAGCATCTTTGAGCATTCAGAAAAGCACTATATAAAACTAATGTATTATTATTATTATTATCATTAATGTTTTAACCACCCATAGTCCAGCACAGATATTAAAAGGATAGCAACAGCCAGCCTCTCCGTTCTAAGAGAGACAGGATTTGATTCTAAAGTAGAAACCCAGCTGTAACCTTTTAACCAGCTGCTGAATGTGTAAAACAGAGAGACTCTTCAATTAAAATACCAAGATATCTGGAGCTCTAGACAGACTCGGTTTGTGCACCATGAGAGGTGGAGATGTGTTTACAAATACAGCAAACAATTCAGAAATATAACCCAGCACAGTTAACCCAACGATGTGTTAACCCAGGAATATTTTAAATGTGACCCTGTCAAAACACCACACGAAAACATAGCCTAATGGTTGAAGACGAATGGGAGATTCATAACAAACAGGAAGAAGTCTACAGGTAGACGCTGCATTAAAAAGAGACTTTAAACTGTAGCTTTCAAACTGGATAGAGAACATGTAAACTCTATTTTCTCTATATCTATTTACATAGGAAATAATCAGATTCTTATATGAACACATTGTTAAATGCTTATATTTGAAATCTAACTTGGGCACCAGATAGTGAACTCTATAGGCCTACCTGTGGCTCAGCAGGGTTGGCAGATCGATCTCCAGCTCCTTTCGCCATTAAGCAAGAAGATAAACCTTTATTTCATCTGACGGTTTAGTCAGCAGCCTCCATGTCAGCTTCCACACCATCTCTGACTGTAGGAAAATTACATTTACATTGATCAGAGTTTTCAATGTTTTAAAAAATGCATTGCAGTCAACTGTATAGGCTTACTGTATCTGCAATGTTGAATGTTTGTACAGAATGGCCCCTTCTAATGCATCATATTGTTTATAATATGTCTGTGTTAATCTGCTGAGCAACTACTAATTGAAGAATTATAGCCTACTCAATGTAAAGGGAAAAAAAATATTGTTTTTAATAGGCCCTATGTGGTGTCAAACAAAGAATGGGATAAACTCAAATAGCCTACTTAGGCCACAAACATTGATTAAATTAAAGCATTTACATGTTTCTACTTCTACTTCAAAGCAGGTATCATAGAGGTAAGCTCGATTTAATGTGGGGGAAACTATCAAAACAAACAATGTTTGTCTCACTTCACACGAGGGAATACCGCGGGGTCAATCAACAACTACATCTCCCAGAACGCCCTGCGAACCGGAAATGACGGGGATTCCATGGAAACGGCAGACTGGCGTGCTAGCTTTGGAGCAGAGAGGACGTACAGCTAGCTACATTTTGTAGGCTACCTGTATCCCGATAAACTTTGCTGAATCGAATATAATATTTATTAATTTCCTTTCTGCAAAGATGAGTCGGACGCCGGATGCAAGAGCGAGGTGAGACAGTGTAAACGCGTCAAACTAAACCTTACATTTACGCTTGTTGACGGAGAAATAGTGTTGGTGTTAAGGTTAGCTGTCTAGTTTTCCGACCTTATTTAACTTATTCGTCTCCAGAACAGTTAGTTAGCCTTTCTCTGCATAAGATATATATACACGAAACCCATTCAGTGGTCCATTAATGTTGTTTCCAAACCGACTTTCTGTTCACACAACCACACGAAGCCGCAGATATCTGTTTGTTTTCGTCAATATAAAGTGCACAGGTAACCTTTAGAAAATGTCCTTTTTTAATACAACAACCAGTCTAAGTATTGTAAAATAAAAAGGTTAAACACACTGAAGCTAGCTCGATAAGTGTCTTCAGTAATCATTTGATGTAATTATAATGGTTTACAATTTAGACAAACCCTTGGCTTGCTCGTCATGGTTGAACACATCATATGTATTATTGTAGCATATATACTGTATATCTATACCTTTTTTCATCTGGATATATTGTTGTTTCCCCTTCTTTTTACTCTGTCTTTATAAAAGTTTCTGATGGAACATGATTTTAACATACTGTACATTCAAAGTGACCTGAAAGACCCAGAGTCATAGTCCTTCCTTTTTTGTTCCTGTTAAATTCATCTGATTCCAGATGTTTGAATATTTTGCATACAATATATATATGTCGATCACTTTTTATCCGTATCAGGGACAACCAGACAAGAAAGATCCAGGAAAATATCACCAATGTGGAGAAACATTTCGGAGAGATGTGCCAACTGTTCGCTGCCTACGCGCGCAAAACAGCCCGGCTACGAGACAAGGCAGATCTCCTGGTCCGGGAAATTGGCTTGTATGCAGACATGGAAACACCAAACCTGAAAAAGGGAATGAAACAGTTTGCTGACCACCTGGCCAAGGTCGAAGACTACCGTCAGGCGGAGGTAAAACTGTGGTATTTCAGTTTTTGCTGCATTGACCGTTCTCATAATTTCCCATTTGCAGCCACAGATGTTGGGTTGTTATTTAGTGTTATTTGTCTTACAGGTGGAAAGACTCGACGCCAAAGTCATCGAGCCTTTGAAAAGTTATGGTGCTGTAGTGAAACGGAAAAGGGTAAGTGATGCTTTGAGCTGAAGTTGTGCTGACATCTGTACAGATTCCAAATGAACCAAGAAACAATGGAACATGTGTATTAAAATATGTGTAAGGTGTATGTCATTATTCAGAGAAGTAATGTAACTCTTCTGTCATAATCTCGCTTTTTTAGTCTCATTTTAGTAAATGTTGTACAGCTGACATGCAGTGGATTTGTTTACCTCCCTGCACTGCCACTTATTTAAAGATGTATACGTTTAACAACACATTTTAAGGTTGAATTGACCTACACATTTGTGGTTTCCATGTCAAGAACATGTGAGAAGGAGTCAGTTGGCAACTTTTGAGCTATAGAGCATAAAGGTCCACTGTTATTGTTATTTATTTAGCATGGCCACATGAGGGCAGTATTAGTTTAATGATAATATCCAACAAGCTCATCAGTTTGTTTTCATTGCTTTTGCCAGAACCTCCATTTTCCATCACAGTCATAGCCACCACTGAAAGACATTTTCTGGTTAAAAAGTAGAAAGTCCCGTCTTCTTCTCTGGTTTCATAAATGGCCAAATAATTCAAGTTTTTTTTTTTTGACTTCTTCTAAAATTAAAATGGGAAGCTTTTAAATTGTAGTTTCACAGATGACAACATGTGCAAAAGAAGATTCTCAAAAAGAAACAGTCAACCTCAAGGGTGACTGTGATTGGTTCGATACAAAAACAGGGATTATGTAAGAAAATGATTGGACATGAACAAATGACGTTTTTACAAGTATTGACAAATGAACATGGCTCATTTTTATACTGAAACACAATATTATCCTTTATTGTATAATCCCTGAAACATTGCCTAAAGTTTAAGAGAGAAAAAAAATAAATCAAAAAATCTTTCCCAAAAGTTTGATCTGTAATTCTTGTCAGATCATGTAGTTAAGCATTAGTGACACTGATAGAACTTTATTTTTCAGGATGAAAACTGTGTGCTTATGTCCTTGTGAATCCACACAGGAGGATCTGAAGATGACTCAGAGTGCCAGAGACAGAGAGACCAAACAGATGGCTCAGCTTGAGAGAACCCGGCAGAGAAACCCCTCCGACAGGCAGATCATCGTATCCTTGTCTTGCTCTAAAATCCTCAAAACAGACACAAGAATTGAAATGTTATGGCTTTTGGAATTTAAGTGCAGCTGATATTTTTTTTAGGTCGTTGCATCTCAATTATCTTACTTGAGTGTATTAATGTTGAAGCAGAAAATCAAACATCTAGTGTTTATCTTTTCTTGATGCATTAACAGTTTGTACCCAGTTGTATTACACCCATCAGGCTCCACCTGCAGAGGTAGAATAAACATAAAGACAGGCTGATTCTTCCTTCCTCTTTTCCTTGACCGAACCTTCAGTCTCAGGTGTGTCTCTCGTAATGTTGACCCCACATTACTGCCAATGTATGAGCGGAAAGATGAAACACAGAAACACAAAGTGCAGCTGAAATCATCCTCTGTATCAGAGGAGTTTCATGAATGGATGGATGTTGAATGACAACTATATATATATACAGCATATGTGTTTTTTGTTTTTTTCATTTCTCTTTATTAGATGTAAAGGACATCTTACCTATCATACTTATAACTCAAACCCTGTACAGTACATATTTGTACACATGTAAACTTTACTGATCTGACAACGCCCAAAGTCATTTCAGCTGCTTGTTTTAAATCACTCCTGAGTTCATAAAAGCATGTGACATCAATTATATCAAAAGAGCAGATGAACTATGTTGGCCAAGTTTCAGGTACTTTTTTTATTAGCTACGCACACTGGTAAAAATGTTTAAAAAAAGAAGCCCAGGTAAAAGGTATCAATTTTCTGATTGGTAACTTCAGGCTGAGAGCGAGCTCCAGAGAGCCACCATGGACGCCACGCGGACCACCAGGCAGCTGGAGGAGACCATAGACGAGTTTGAGATTCAGAAGATCCGGGACATCAAGGTCTGCAGCTCTGAGCGTACTCTTCAATTTAAATGTGTAGGAATATATCTCTGTGACGCAGTGGAGTGAAACCAGACAGTGGTGATTTGGACTTTTGATAGCTAACCCACATCTCGTTATCCGCTTCTTGTTTAGTCATTTCAGAACTCTTGTTCATGTGTTGCGGTCACGAGAAAGTTGTGATTTATTCAAACAAAAGTCAAGAGGGTACTGAGAAATGATCGTTGTCTTTCCCCTTTGTAGAGGATCTTTGGAGAGTTTGTGACGGTGGAGATGTCGTTCCACGCAAAGGCCCTGGAGGTTTACACATTGGCCTTCCAGAGCATTCAAAGTGTGGACGAAGAGGAGGACCTGGAGGTAGGCTGATGCTCCACTACTCGGATCATTTTAAACGAGCCATAGCAGTGGTGTGATTGGTTCTGGGAGATTGGAAAGGAAAAGTCTTCCAGTCATTTGACAATAGATGTCATTTGGGCTCTGGGAAAGTGAGATGAGTAATTATGAATAATACACATTTCAGTCTCAGTCATGCATTCTACAGTGTACATTTCTCACACTGTATCAAAGCTAAATGAGCCACTATAAGCACCCTATTCTTTGTTCAATATGAAACAGGTTAGAGCCATCATGACCTTGTGCACCCTTTCCTCACTGACTCATGGCTCACACACACTCCACTGTCCACACCCTTCAACTGATGTGGTAACCTGCTGTGGGTCAGATACCATTCAGATTCATGCGTGCTCCTTCCTTCTGTTTACTTGTTGCTTTGAAGTGTTTGATAAAGTATTTTCATAGTAAAAGCCTGTCATTAAAAAAAAAAAAGGATCAATGAATTTCAAGCAAGTGAGGTTCCTTCTGCAGATGCCCTCATGTTGTTTTCCTCCCTCCGCCCCTTCGCCTTCTCGTCTCTGTGTGTGTTTTTTGCACTGAATCATCTCTCCTCCATTCATATCGAAGCGAAACTCCTTACCCAGCCCGGGCTGTTTTACAATGACTCATAGAACAAAGCATGAGAGATTGAATCATCTGAAAGATGCACAATGACAGGCATGAAGATAATCCTGATCAGGAGCGCTTGCAAAACTTCTTTGCTACGTGTGACAACCCTCAGTGTGGTTAAACTGTTTTTCTGTTATCAGAGGCATTCCGTCTCAGCGCCTCTGGTTATGGGGAAAGGAAAGGTTGCAAGCTCAGTACTTGATTCGCTGGATAGGTGGTAAAATATTCAAGTTCCTGCTCCTGGTATCAACATCTTACAACAGTTACATATGAGTCCAAACATTTTGTAACGTCTCAAACCTGTGATGAGTACAACTACATTTGTGGCTTTTTACAGTTTAATTTATGTTTTTTCGCATTACTTCCAGCGCACACATAATGATTACAGATGGATTTGTAGGCATTTCTTCTCTTTAGACAAATATATAACGCCTACTGTCTCTGGCAGGTGTTCAGGAGCTCGCTGCACCCCCCTGACTACCAGTCACGCTTAGACTTAGTGCGAGCTAATTCCAAAACCTCCCTCGATCGGACCGGGTCCTTCCTCAGTACATCAGGGACCTTACAGGTAAGATACACACAGCACATGCGTAGATTCGATGGAAAAATGATCAGAATTTCACACAGACAGATCCCCATTTGCTGTAGTTTCTGTTGTGCATTTCCATTTTCTATCACTTTTTTCAATTGCACAAGTTCCATCTTGATAATGAAGTAAGAAAGTTCTCCTCTTCCCTTTTAACCCAGTAATTTTCCTCATACCAGTAGAAGGGTGATGCACATTAACTCTGAGTCTGATCATTTGTGCCAGTGTTTATGCACCACATTCCCCCAGCCATCGTTCAGTTTCAATGTCCCTACATGTCATGTCATGTCAGTAACAATCATGCATTTCTTTCTACATTCAGATCAGCCCGGCATTTTAGCATTATCTCTGACTCTGATCTTATTTGTTTGTAGAGTTGTCTTGTATAAGGTCTGAACAGATTGTCTTTACTTTCCAAAGAAATGAGGAGCAGCATTTTTTTAAATCTTTGAAGAGATGTCTTCTTATCGTATATATTTTATCTATAGATGTCCAGATATAGTGTCTGTGTGCTGACGTCTCTACCTGTATTGTCTCCGCTTGTAACCACATCCCTCTTTCAAAGTCTTCAGGAGAAAACCAACGGAGCGGAAGCAGTAATTGTGCTTAATGACTACCTGCTCAGTTTTTCACTGTAGCTGCGTATTGACTGTATATTTGTTGTCACAGCAACAAAGAACCAGCAACCGCCAGACGAGGAGAGAGGAGGAAGAAGAGGATGAGGAGGAGGATGAGGAGGAATCTGAAGAGGAGGATGAAGAGGACAACTCTGATGATGAAAATTAATTTTTCTTTGCTGTACAGAAGAAAGAAAGGGATATTCAAAAAGGTGTGTTAGTGTTGTGCAGCCTCATAAAAGACCAGCTGTGTCATTGCCAAACTTACCTGACACAGGTGCTCTGAGCAGTGTTGTAGTGAAAGTAGTTGTGCGATGCAGAACATGTTGTTCTTTACTACCATTTGTCTTTGAGCCAGTTATTGTCTTAGCTTTGTTTTTTTATACATAAATGAAAACAGTATTTCATTATTCTGCTTTTTATTGCTTCATGTTATTCATCTTTTAGGAATAAATCACTTTTCATATTGAG